TCCCTCCTTCTGTCCACCACACACTGTCTGTGTGCTGAGGTCACAAGGTCAGACGTGAAAGCGCGGTTTGCTCATAAATCTGAATTTTAATCACTGTGTCCGAGACTGGAGGGGAGGGGCGGGGCTTTCTCCGTGTCCCTGTGACCAACACAATATATAATTAGTGTGTATCGACAGATGCTGATTGGTTCTTTTTCTCTTTTACGGAGACGAGCCGCTGATCCGCACAGATACTCTCTGCGTTTCCTGATCCGCTCTGAGAAACGCCGCTGTCGATGACAACTGTGTGACTTCAGTCAGGACTGAACGCAGGTCCGGCTTATGTTCAGTCAGTGGGCGTTAAATCCAAATCATTTTCTTATGTTTGGAGACACAGAAAAGGCTGCGATGAATCACACACGCTGAAAAACTATTAATAAACCTCGACTACAGCCTTAAAAAAAGCCCGGTGGTTAAATCCCAGACGGCTGTGATCTGCTTACCAGGACACAGTCTTCTTGGTCAGGAAGCCGAAAATCTGTTTTGCTTAAATACAGACTTAATGATTGGATTACTGTTTCTTGGTTTGGGGATAGCGTGATAGTGGGATTACAGTGTGTGCACTCAATAGATTTCCTGTCAGATGCCATGAAACCCAGTGTCCCCCCGGTTGGGGAGGCGGACTGTCGGAGTGGGGAGGAGGAGGGAGAGAGAGAGAGATGGAGAGGAAGAGGGGGTGGGGGTGAGGCTTGGACTTACAATGTGGCCCACCTCAGTGAACACAGGAACAAAAGTGGAGCAGCAACACTGATGTGAAATAATCACGCGTCCACGTCGGTGGTTCCTCTGATTCACAGCCTCAGTGAAGAGCCAACACTTGATTTTCAAATGGAATGATTCTTCAGCTGCAGCTCCACCTTGAGCTGCTGCGTGTCTTCCTTCTGCCTCATTAAAAACATAAGCATATCTGCTCTATTGATTATGTCTGGATGTCTTAATCAGATCAACAGGAATATCCTGCCGTTTTTTTTCCTGTGCAGGAAAGTACATTAAATGTCAAAATATTGATCAAAAATTCAATTCTGAATGCACACGCTCCTTTATTAAGGCAATCGTCCCCCTCCCCTCCGCCCCCCCGAGCCCTGGCTCCCCGTGACTCTGATACAGTTTGACATGAAAAGAGAACATTAGACAAAGATATAATTCCAGGCCTTTTTATTTTTAAAGAGGGGTTTGGGAAACAGGAGTATGGGCCGAGGCTTCTGGCGACACTGCAAACGCTGTGATCAATAAGAGCGTGTGATGGGTTTTGTATCGATCAGGAAAATGTGGGTTGATGAAGTGGGCTGGAGGGGGCGCTGGAGGGAGTGGCTCCTTTTCTGATGGTCGCCACATTACACACATGTGGAAAACGGAAGCAACTGTTGTTGTTGTTTTTTTTCTCACTGTCGTTAGCGTTATGAACATGACGGTCCAGGTGATCGTCACTGTGTGAGCGCTGAAACGTGGCTGTGGGTGAAAGACGCGCCCTGTGACGGAGGGAATAAGAGAGTTCAACTCTGTCAATGTTGATCTAAAGTTAACAGAGGTGTTTGGCTGTAAGAGATGAAGTCGAAAAGTTCCAAGACAAATTCAAACCAATTATAATATTTGTGTTAATCACTAAAAAAACCAATACATATGTATGTGTGTATATATTTATATGTGTGTATACATTGGTATATATTGATATATGTGTGTATATATTGATATATGTGTATAGTTTTATATGTGTATATCGATATATGTGTATAATTTTATATGTGTATATTAATGTTTGTCTTTATGTATATATGTATATGTATTTTTCTGTCTGTTTAAACCTAAAATTTGCATTAAATAGACCATGTATATATATATTTATACATTTCACTTCAGTTTAAACTAAAACACTTCATATTATATGGTCGATCATCGTTTTGTGGGTCCTGTGACCTGGATCTTTTTTGTACCGGTCTGCCTGCTGTCCAGATTGGCTAACCCTTTAAAAACACATTAACCAATCATGAAGAGGAATGTAGGATGGCACTCCATAAAACAGTCATATCTGGTATAATCTCCCTAATAACTCTGAAGTATGAGTCAAGTGAGTTGATTGGTGATTTCTTTCTAGAACAAACGTATTCTCTCACTGAGGTCTAACAGTGTTAATGTTCATGTTGTTTTTGTTTTCATGCTGTTGCTCGGTGTGTACTGTTGATTGGAGCGGTCATGGATCTAACCCTTTGAGATGTTACGGTGTGTCTTAGTGTGTGTCCATCAGTATTCCCTGCTCTGCAGTGACATCGTCTCAGATTAAGATCTAATCTGTCGGTGTGTCTGTCTGTGTCTGTGCAGCTCTCCCCTGTGAATGACTGGACACCAACTTGGTCGCCCCCTTAGCCTCTCCCACCAGCTTAAAGCTGCATCCCCATTGGCTGCTCCCAGGACTGCCCTCTTTGATTGTCGACCAGTGGGAGCCCCCGCTCTTGTACAGGCCACGCCCCCAGCTCTTAAAGAGCCTCGGTGTGTTCAATGGAGACTCAATCCCTTCTTTGACTTCCTCAGCCTCAGTGTGCGCTCTCTCTGCTGCTCTTCATCACCAACTCTCTTCTTCTCTTCTCCCCTTCTCTGACTTTCACACTTTACTCCTTTGTGTTTTTCCACTTCTTTCCTCCCTGTTTTCTCTCCCGCCTCTGTCCACTGTCCTGTCTTCCAGCTCCTCTCCGTCTGTCCTTCTCAGTGTCTTCACCTGGGAAAACTGACGGGAGTTTTTTTTTCTTCTTTTTTCTTTCTCTGGCTGAGAGGCAGAAGGGTTTTTTTAAATTATTTATTATTAGTATTACTATTATTGTTGTTATTTTATTGTGTGTCTATACATTGATTAGGGGAGGCAGGGGAGACAACAGCCAGGAACAACTGACCAGTCATTTCGTCCAGATATGTGGAGTGGCAGAAACTGATCTCCTCCTCCTCCTCCTCCTGCTGCTGCTGCTGCTGATTTTTTGTCCCTGCTGTTTGTTTATCTGCTCCGGCTGCAACACCTGGAATGCTTAACCTGGACTGATGGACGTTTCCGAACTCTGCATCCCAGACCCTCTCTGCTACCACAACCAGTAGGTGCATCTCTTCCTCCAGTTCCTCCACACACACACACACACACACACACACTCCTGAAATTTAAACATTAACGCCTTTAAATAAGCCTCAGTCAGTGGTTAAAAAAAGAAATATTATTTATTCATTGGTAAAGTTAACAGGGAGTTCCACTCCGCTCCACCTTTCTGTGTTTGGGACAACAGCGCTCTGTGTAGCAGAGCCCGTAGCGTGTCCTGCAGGGAGCCCAGGTCGACGGCTGTCCTGCAGCTGTCTCAAACTGCAGGGTCCCGGGTTTAACATGGTCCACGGGAAAGAACCAGAGGCAGATTAACGCCGACAATATTTCAGAGCTGTGTCCTCTGGCAGTGGCTCATGTCCAGCAGTGTCCCAGAGAGTGTCACTAGTCTTTAGAAGTAAAAAAAATAACAACAAAAACTGTATGTTGTATTTGAAGAAGCCAAAGTAGATCTGTGGGGGTTTTTTTTACTAAATTTAATTTAAATGTTTTTTTAAGTTCCTAATATAATGACATTAGTGAAATAAAGTGTTAGTTAATTTACAGAAAATAGTTGAAGGGAGTAAAAGTGGTGAACAATGTAGGAAAGACAGAAAAACCGACTCCTGAGTTTGACTGAGAAGATGCTGGAGCGTAGCAGCAGCAGCAGCAGCAGCAGCAGCAGCAGCAGCTGAGGGGAGACCCTCCGCCGTGGATCCTCTTAATGTTAAGCTGTAGATGGGATTGGAGGGTTTTAACCACAGGCCTCGCACTTTTCTACACCACCACCGCGACAAGGAATATTTCCCTGTGTGACAGCTGACTTCACTGACTCATGAGGAATAAAAAGTAAAAAAAAAATCAAACTTGTTAAACAGTTCTGTCAACAGCTGAGTCTGTGGACGGGGGAGAGAACGGGGGAGTCATTTACTAAAGTTTTTTATATATATATATAAACACATTTGTGTTTCATTCTGTTGTACAGTTTTAATACGGAGCGGTTCCTGGTTTATATCTGTCTGCTTGATGGCAGGAATATTCACAGGTCACACTTGTTTCTGCAGTTCACTCACTTTGTCATCGTCGCTATAAAAACAGTTCATTTCACAGCTGGTTTGTGGGAGAAAATGTCATATTGTTTTGAGGTAAAAAACAAACAATTTACTGAAGTAGTATTTAATACACATACCGTATCTTGTGATACATGTTTTTTTTCCCTACCTAAATATAGAGCCTTTACAAATACAGCAGCGTGTTACTGTAGTATTATGGAGTACCTCTGTGTTAGTACATGCCTACAGTGGTGTGCATGTGTGTTTGATTGAAGTGCTATCATTTTACATATGCTCCTGCACATACTATTATAGTACTTCTGAAGCTATGAATACTACATACAGTACACAGCTCAGATGCCTACTGTTGCAGACACACACATGCTGGTTTTTATCCAATACACAGTCTCATTTAATTTTTTTTTTGATTTTTTTTTTTGTAATAGCAGTGAATAAATTGATGGGATTTTATTTAAGGAAAAAACAACAAATAAAATATTTTTACACTCCTCAGCCAATAGACATCAAACTCTGAAGATTCAGTAACAAAAAGACAAAAATGTGTTTAAACTTTGAAACTAATCCCACGGTCAGACAGGAAGTCACTGCTGCTGCTGCTGCTGCTGCTGCTGCTGCTGCTGCTGCTGCTGCTGCTGCTGCTGCTGCTGCTGCTGCTGCTGCTGCTGCTGCTGCTGCTGCTGCTGCTGCTGCTGCTGCTGCTGCTGCTGCTGCTGCTGCTGCTGCTGCTGCTGCTGCTGCTGCTGCTGCTGCTGCTGCTGCTGCTGCTG